TTTTATTTACAGCTGTCCAAAAACTGAGAAGCTTTGGTTTCCAAAGTGGGTTTTCTGATAGTAACTTTACCTCCTAACTACACAACCCTTCTCACTAGTCACTGTCCTCCTTTTTAAAACAATTAAACTCAATTATTTCCTTCCTTTTTAAAACAATTAAACTCAATTATTTCACTTACTGCTTATATCAATAGCACTTTCCCTCATAAAGTTCTCAGCCATGTCTTTTCTTAAGATATGCTTGGCTCTTGAACTGTTTGTAAAAACACTTGAAGCAGTGTTGAGAGATAAGATTATCTTTTTAGGTTTTATGATGCCAGAAATAATTTTTAAATGCCTTTTAAAATATATAACAACTTGACTTATACCAAGTGCTTATCAAAGATTGGATAGAGTTTATCAGCTTCTGGAGGAAGCAAAGCTTAGAGTTGAAAATCACAACCTCTGTGGTCAGCTGTCTTCAGAACCTAGCTCTACACGTATAGAACATGTAATCTTAACCTGAATATTTTAAATATCTCTGTATGATAGTTTGTGAGGATTAAATGGTATATATCCAGTACTTAGCACAATACTTGTGCATGCTACCTGTGCTGTAAGTCATAGATATTATTTTGTTATCTCTTTGGATCCTCAAAATAGCACTACAAAATGACTGTGTAAAGCAGTCCTTTGCTTTGTGAATTTTGAAAATAGAAATCTGAGGATATACTTATAATCACTCAATATTATCTGCGTAATGTATAATATTCATTATTCTTTCTTAAAGTTCTTTTTCTCTGACCCTGGAGTTCATGTAACCAAAATGCAGGTTCAGCTGCCTGACACAATGAAAGCCAAACTCATAAGACAAGTGCTGGTGCAAGAGGAAAGAGGTTTATTCAGGAGCAGCAACCTGAGAGAATGCTGGATGGCCATCTCAAAGACTATGTCCCTTTTCTGCTCAAAGCCCCCAGTTCTTATAGGATTAAGGAGGGAAGGGATATTCTTTTCTATCCATTCATCTTTTTAGCTTTTGGTGTGCGAGGGCCCTGTCCATTCATCTTTCAAATATAATATAACCTCTATACTATTGAGTAATTTACATACTCCATTTAAAGTGTACCTTAGTGTAAGAACGCCCTCCTGTGCCAACTTGGCCAATGGGGGAGAGTTCCTGGCATTCCCTGACTATCTATGGCAAGGGGCGGGAAACTTTTTTCTGCCAAGGGCCATTTGGATATTTATGGTATCATTTGCAGCCCATACAAAATTATCAACTTAAAAATTAGCCTGCTATATTTGGTCAGACATTTAATTAACTCACCCCATATGCCTTGGCATGGCCAGACCAAATGACTTTGCAGACCTTATATGACCTGTGGGCCTGATGTGGCCCATGGGTCTGATGTTCCCCATCCCTGGTCTATGGTAATAGCCAGGGTTTTATAAGTAAATATATTGCGATTATCCTCTGGTTGTTAAATCTCAACATTTTATAATCACTTCTGGGACATTTTCTTTCTTTATAACTATAATTACCTACTCAGTTCAGTTTGTTCAAATTTATAATTCATAGGTTATATACATTTGCTTGTTCTGAAGGTTAATTTTTTAATATATTTCTCATCAACTCATTCAATTTTTTGTGTTTTAGACTTTATTTTCTCTTTTGTACTCTATTCTGGTTTCTATAAAACAGTGTTAATTTTTACTTTCTTTAGTTAGGTATATGATTATTTTCTAGGATTGCCATCTTTATTTTGTTTCCTTTTTTTTTCTCCTCTTTTGCTTTCCTTAAGTGAACAAATATAATATAACCCCTATACTATTGAGTAATTTACAGACTCCGTTTAAAGTGTACAGTTTCGATGTTTTCACAAATATATATAGGCCCGTAAAAACACTATCCTAATCAAGATAAGAACTGATGCCCTGGCCGAGTGGCTCAGGTGGTTGGAGCATTATCCCTTACACCAAAAGATTTGTGGATTCAATTTCCGGTCAGGGCACATACCTAGGTTACAGGTTTGATCCCCAGTCAGGTTGTATACAGGAGACAACTGATCAGTATTTCTCTTTCACATCCCTCTTTCTCTTTCTCCTCTACCCTCTATCTCTTCTCTCCTTCCCTCAGCCTCTCTGTCTAAAATCAATAAGCATATCCTTGGGTGAAGATTTTTTTTTAATAAATAAAGAGCCCAGCCAGTGTTTCTCAGTGGTTAAGCGTTGACCTGTGAATCAGAAGGTCAGGATTTGATTCCCAGTCAGGGCACATGCCTGGGTTGTGGGCTCAATCCCCAGTAGGGGACATACAAGAGGCAACCAATCAATGATTCTCTCTCATCATTGATGTTTCTATCTTTCTCTCCTTCTCCCTGTCCCATCCTCTCTGAAATCAATAAAAACATATTTTTTAAAAAGATAAGAGCTATTATATTATCCAAAAAAAAAGTATCCTTAGCCCCTTTGTTTCCATTTTTGAATGATTTCTATTTCCTCTTTCATCTCTAAATACATAGACTTCACCCCTCCACACACACACTGGTTCCTGTGGCCAATAACTTTGTTGGTTTCCACTGTATGTCTAGTGCTTGGTGTAGTGCTGACATAATAGGCATTCAATACCTATTTCTTCAGTGAATTCTCATGGCAAATTTTGTAATCATTACCTTTCAGAGGTTATTTCAATCTTAGTGCTACAAATCCTTTTCATTCATTCTTTTTTTTTCAGTTTCTTATGCTTTGTTGTGTTTTTCTTATGATTATTGGTATTTTTCTTGAAGGTATTTTTTTTTATTGCCTATGGCATTTGGTAAGTTCATGTATTCAGTAAATATTTGTTGAGCACCATCTCTGAACTAGGCACTTTAGATCCAGTAGTAAACAAGAAAGATAAAAGTTCCTACTCTCTGGGGCTTATATTCTAGTAGGAACGCTCATAAGAAGGAAGATTTCTGCTCTCTTCCTCACTCTGTTATCTACACACAGTACTTTTCTCTCTATTGGTGTTACTATCCATTTTATTATACACCACACACACACCATAATCCCAAGGCTGTGGTATGAGAGATAAGAGCCTGAACCAAAATGCAGACTGAGGATTTGCAGAAGTAGAAGGTTGAATCAGTAATACTTTGTGATTGAATGAATATAAAGGAAAGGAAGGAATCTAGGATGAATCCCCAAATGTCTGACTTGGACAGTGGTTGTATGAAGACACTCCTACCTAGGAAGGAATACTGGCCATTGGAGGCAAGGGGAAAGAAAGATGGTGTTCAGTGGGAGAATCTGTAGTGGTTATAGTGATTGGGTCATATGAATGTGGAAGTCAGAAAGGCGTAGGTATGAAAAAGATTTGGTATCCAATGGCATATAGTATAGATAGTTGAGCACAAATGCAATTACTGGAGGAGATTTTATTAAAAAGAAAAGAGGTACATTACAGAGCCCTAGAGAATACAATGCATAAGAGGCAGCAGAATAAGATTCGCCTACAAAGAGGATTAGTAAGAAGTAGAGTACAAGAGGAGAAACCAAATAGCTATGGAACTCTCCTTTAAGTGAAGCAAAAGACTACAAACACTATCATCTAACTCATTATAAAAATTACTGACTTTCAAAGATTTTATTAAAAATTAAATTACCTAAAATTGGTGGCTTATTTATGTTTCTAAATGTTACTAATAGTTTCCCATGGATTCTTTTTTTTTTTTAAAATACATTTGTATTGATTTCAGAGAGGAAGGGAGAGGGAGAGATAAAAACATCGATGATGAGAGAGAATCATTGTTCGGCTGCCTCCTGCATGCCCCATACTGGGGATCTAGCCTGCAACCCAGGCATGTGCCCCAATGGGGAACTCCTGGTTCAGAGGTTGAAGCTGGGCTTCGCATGGATTCTTTAGCTGGTGTTCAAAGTTAAGAGCAATCTGAGATGCTACAAAAACTACAGAAAATTGTGTCTGATATGTTTGACATGGGCTGCTTCTCCTTAGCCTTGTCTTTAATCTGGTACAGATGAGTGGGCCTGGGGGTAAAGGCCATGACCCTCTGAGTGTGAGAGTATATCAGGTTAAGGACTCTTGACCCAGCAGCAATGGCTAATTATCCAGGCCCATCTACCCTCTATGCACACACTCTGGTATGACAGTGATGCGAGGAGAGGTAGATAATAATTGCAGTAAGGAATAGCAAGAGGAAAGAGGAACAGTTTTCATTTATGGAGTCTTTTTCTTGTACCAGGTTCTCTTTCAGATTCAGACACTCATTATAAAGCTTACTCTCTCCTCCCCTAGCACCTCTTTGAGGTAGGCAGGATTACCTGTCTTACAGATAGAAAACATGGGTTATGTTAAAGAAGGTTGGCCAGTTTCACACAAACAGGGAGCTAGAGCAAAAATTTAAACCTAAGCCTGTCTGATTTGAAAGCCTTGTTCTTGAACTGCTATCCCATATTGCATGTGATTTATATGGGGGGAGGAGAGTGTTAGGCGTGTGGATGTATGTGCATATGTGTTTAATCTGCACTCTCTACTGAGGTAAGATCCTGAAGTGGATGTTAAGTTACACAAGAGGAAGAAACAGCCAAAACATGGGACAAGATTGTAGAGCTTCCCCGAATCTGACTTAGATCACTGCCTTGGTGCATTCATATGTGGTGCACTATTTCCCCTCGTAGTTCTTGCTTTGTCTCGGTACATTAAAGGTTCAATTATCCATGTAAATGGAGGGTAGCCACATGTGAATAACTCTATAAAGAATCAGCAATCTAAGGAGCATTTCAGGAGCAGTTTGCCATTTATATGTGACTTGTTTGGGGTAGATTTATATCCCTAAATATGTTTGCTTAGTCATCCCAGAATTGTAATGGATGGGCCTGTCCCCAGAGCAAGCATTGAAGTGAATTATCCATAGGAGAATATCAGACAGTTCATTCCTAAGGAAGAGCTTTTAAATTTATTTAAAAACATAGCTTCAGAGATACTGATACCTTTTCTCCCCCACCCCAAATTTATTTAGAACTTATGCTATCAGGAAGATAAGAGATGCCTTCAGAGAAAATAAGAATATGAAAGATCCTGTGGAAATTCAGGCTCTAGTGAATAAAGCCAAGAGAGACCTGGAAATGATTCGTCGACAGGTAAGAAAGTTCAATGATGTACTATTTTTCATTAAGAGTTTAAAGCTTTGACACATCCCCTTGAATGCATGTCACTATTTTTGGTATTTATGATTTACACAGAATCATGAGACTGTTCCTTTTACTCATATAAACATAGAAAGATGACCTATTATATTATTGAATTCAAGGAGAACATAAAGGAAAATATCAGCTTTCCAGAGTTTCCAGGGAATGCATCCTTTGGGAAGCTGAGTTCTCACATTTAACTAAAGGTTGATGCTTTAAGTATGGGAAACTTCCAAAAAATGTTCTCTTTGTAAGATATATTACACATTTGTATATGGACATATGTCAAAGAGTATAAATGTATTCTACTTTTCTTAGTATTTTAAAATCATAGTTCAAGATAAGATTGTCTTGAAGACATGGTCATTGGTGAGGAAATGAATTTTGTTGCCACATGGAAGGTGTATCTGCAGGTGGAAATGGTGTGAATAGCTGCTTTGGGATTGACCCCATAAAGGACCCTGGAAGGTGCTTTTGTTTTCATCTTGTAGAAGTGCCAGGGACCACCTTGATTTGTGCTTGCCTCTCTCTTTCTCTTGAGGTAGAGTGGAGCAGTTGCTACAACATGGTCTCTGGGTAGTGCGATATATCCATCCTTCTGCAAAATTCATTGGAAAGCTAAAGACTAAAGTAGCTTACTATCAGTTGGCTTTCTCACTCTCTAAAAAAACATATACTTTTCACTATTTTCCTTGAATTTAGCAGTAATCACACCATAAGCTTCATTTCTGCTTCTATTTGTTTTATTCTCTTACTTGCAGTAAATTTGTTTATAAAGTGTGGAAGGGAAGCCCCTTGCCATTTTGCTAATTTCTGTTTGTGTTTTGGAAAGAACTTCTTTAGCGTCATGAGGAGATGCCAGCTTGAGGACATATACTTTTCACTATTTTCCTTGAATTTAGCAGTAATCACACCATAAGCTTCATTTCTGCTTCTATTTGTTTTATTCTCTTACTTGCAGTAAATTTGTTTATAAAGTGTGGAAGGGAAGCCCCTTGCCATTTTGCTAATTTCTGTTTGTGTTTTGGAAAGAACTTCTTTAGCGTCATGAGGAGATGCCAGCTTGACTAACATTATATCATATCATAATATATTAACATATATTCGTCATGCTTGCCTCTAAACAGAATTCAAAAAAAAGAGAAGCAGTATTAAAAACTGTAGTTTTCATTGTATATCAAAACTAGAGGCCCAGTACACAAATTTGCATACCAGTGGAGTCCCTTGGCCTGGCCTGCAGGATCGGGTTGAAACCGGCTCTCCGACATCCCCCAAGGGGTCCTGGATTTCGAGAGGGCGCAGGCCAGGCCGAGGGACCCCACTGGTGCATGGGGGCTGCAGAGGGATGCAAGAGGTTGGCCAGCTGGGGAAGGCTCCAAGACATGTCCGGCCCATCTCACTCAGTCCCGATCAGCCGGACCCCAGCAGCAAGCTAACCTACCGGTCGGAGCATCTGCCCCCTGGTAGTCTGTGCACGTCATAGTGACTGGTCAACCAGTCGACTTTCTGCCCCTGGTGGTCAGTGCACATCATAGCGAGGGGTTGAGCGGCCTTAGCATATCATTAGCATATTACACTTTGATTGGTTGAATGGACAACCAGACACTTAGCTTGTTAGGCTTTTATTATATAGGATTAGAAGTCTTGTTCTATTCCCTTATAATGAAACAGTCTGTTCCAGAATACCATTTCAGGTTCTGGTGACCCTCCTTGAGTACTGTAGTTATTTAGCAATAGAAATAACTTTGCCACATTCAGACAAGCCTAGGAAATTATCTTTGACTAAGGTAAATGGGTGGAAAAAATAAGACTTGTGGTGGAAAATAACTCGTATGCTTAGTATAGTTTACAAAGAAACTGATCTGCACATTTGCATATACTTTGAGAGTAGCAGATTAATGAGTTGCATTTTGAGAACTAGAACAGTGGCACTACCCAGGCATCAGTGGTTGAAATTTGTGGAACCTTTAACATTGGAACTTGTCCTTCTTTTGCATAAACTCAGAAAGATTTACCTCTTTGGCACTTTCCCATGTAAAAGTTGGCAAGCATCACCAAAACAGGCTGGTTTCCTCTTCTAGTGTAACTTTGCTCAGAGTAGAAAATGCTTAGAAAAGGTTACCTTTAAGTAATCTGTTCCACAATTTCAGCTGTGTCTTCTGAAATGCTAAAACTACCCTCTAAAAAAAAAAAAAGACTAGATTGGCTGTCATCAGACATCCCCAGTGAATCCACTTAGAGGCCCAGTGCCCAACCCAGGACTGCCAGTGCCCAGAGCTTCCATAGTAACTAGTACATCAGCTAGTAACTACGTGATTGATCATGTGATCCCTAAAGGCCCTGCTCAGAGAGGCCCTGACAAATGAAAGCATTCTCATTCAATCAGAAAACTAGTTAGCCAATTATAGGTCAACAACTGGGAGGTTTCTGTTCACTTCCCTTTCACATCAAGACTGTTCCTGAATTCAAGAATAACATTTACCATAGTTGGCTTATGAGCTGTGGTGGACTCCTGGAGCCACCTCACTCTAAGCTGGTAAACTTGACCTTGGCGAAAAGGCCTAAAATAAAGTAGCATCTGTATTTCCTTCTCACTGGCCACTGTAATAACCTTCTAACTTGCTCCAATTGCCCTTGTCCCGAAATGTTCTATTCTTCGCACACTGCCAGAATGAACTTTATAAGGAAAATCAGAGCAGGTTTCACACAGGTCACAATGCTCCAGGGGCTTCGTTGCACTCTGACAATGAAATATGATGTCCTTATGAAGTCCTCAAAGGCCCTCCATTGCTCTTGTCTCCCTTGCACTATGTACCTTCTTCATATCCCTTGTATATCTCCAGCTTGTTCCCATCTCAGAACCTTTGCACCTACTGCCTGAACTAGTTTCTCCCCTTTTCGATTCCCCTTTTCCCTCAGACTTTTGCTCAGACTTCACTTATCACAGAATCTAAAATAGCCTCCTTCCCTCTGTCACTCTATCACCTTACCCTGCTTTAGTTTTCATTACAGCACTTATCTAACCAAAAATAACATTACTGTTGTCTGTTTTCTCCTTTCCTGTGAAGACAGGGATCTCACCTGTCATGGTCACGGCTACCTGGTATGTAAGAGCATGGGCTCTGGAGCCAGCCTGACTGTGTTCAAATCCTTATTCAACCTACTGTGACTTTGAACCAGATATCTAACTTCTCGGTGCCTTGTGTAAAGTACAGATGACAACAGGCCCAACTTCATGGGTTATAGTGAGGATCAAATAAGTTAACATATGTGAAACCCTTAGAAGGATGCTAGCACATAGTAAATACTATTGTTATCCAGAGTATCTAGAATAGCCCCCCATAAAGTTGGCTCTTACTATTTATTTGTGGACTAAATGAATATATGAAGAGTTTGGCCCCTGAGATCATACAGTGCAGTAAAGGAGTCTGTGCCACCAAATTGTGGTATCTTGCTGGCTGCTCCAAACCTCTCTTCAGAGAGATTGAACCTTGAAAGGAAAGCAGGAATCTAATAAGGATCTTGAGACATTACCCTCATGAGCTGTACTGTCTTTATATCAAGTCCCTCTTTCACTTGAGTACTTGGGCCCAGAGACCATCAGGATGCACATCAACCTCAGCATCACTTTTCCACAGATGAGAAAGCTTACTGCCGCCTTTCAAGCTGCCAGATGTGCACATCCATAAGGCATTTTACTCAAATTGAATTCCTTCATCAGACTGTCTCCTCTCTCAACAGTGTCCCCTACTTCCCTGCTTTCAACTCAGTCTTTCAAGTGGATCTTTTTTCTAACTTTTCAGTCACTCAGTCAGCTGTGATGCTGATGATACAGCGGTAAGCATGGTAAGATTTTGCAGTTCTTAAAAAGTCTCTGTGCATAGATTTCCTTCTTTCTGGAGGGTAGCAAAACCAAGGTGCAATAAAGCTAGATGCCTTGTCCCTGGCTAATGACCAGATCTGTGTTCAGGTCTTCCAGTTCCTTAGAGCAAACTCAGAAGTTCAAGGACGTGAGCGCCTGAGGCAGTACTTCCAGTTCCTTAGAGCAAACTCAGAAGTTCAAGGACATGAGCGCCTGAGGCAGTAGATAAAGATAATCTTTTTTTTTTGTTTTGTTTTTTTTCTAAGATATTTAAGGACCACATCAACCTAGCTCCGCCTCTCATCAGAGTCATTCTTTCTTTATATCCTTAGTGCACAGAAATAGTTAATCTTCATTGTTGCAACCCTGAAGGATTCGGGAGAGCATCTGCATTTCTTATTAGCCTTTCACACCACACCTAAGGATTACTCTGATTTGAGGAAGTAAAATGGCAGATTGTTTTTCCTCCATTATTAGTAAGGCAGGCACCTTTTGCTCCTTCTTTATCATTTTGGTCCACTAAATAGAAGTCTAACATACACATGTTCTTTCTTTGACACTTTTGGAACAACTTCCTGAAAATTATAATTAAGTCTGGCAATCTCTATTTCTTTCCAGCTATATGCATTATCTTACATCCTATAACTAGTAAAGAAATTCTTCCACCTTTCTATAAACTTCCATTATTTTCATATAAAATCATTCTATAAAGACGATTGACCCTGGCAGTTTGTGTGAGTTCTTCCTCTCTCCTGATATCAAGTTCTGGACTAGCCTCCACTAAACTGAGCTTTCCTGTCTGCTCCCAAGTCTAAGACAGAGTACATAAATCTCACTTGCTTCTGACTGCATTATTATTTTTTAAATATGTAGACTGATGCTTTGGTCTAATTTTGGTTTATCTATATAGGTATAGGGGTAAGTACTATATATATATTCCATGTTCAAAGGCTGTTAAATCGTGTTGTTTACTCATATCTTCAGAAAAAAAATCACTTCTACTGTCGTGGTAAACAACCTGCTTCCCTGTTTATAATGGTCTGGCCCTCTAGCAACTTCAGCGCAAAATTATAGCTATTTTGCCTACAAACGTCAGGTGGTCATAATAATCTGGCCACTCAGTGTATATTTCTGTTCTATATTAAATGAGTGAATAATAGATGAGATCTAGGATGGAGACAAGGAGTTTGTCTCCAAAGAGTCAAAATGAGAAATAACTTCTACAAGGTTCTGATGGACCTCATAATTCCATCCCAACTTTTCCTCCAAAAAGCTCATAAGGTCAATTCATAATTATATTTATTGAGTGGGTGCTCAATAAATGTTTAGGAAAAGAAATTGTGGGCACAGAATTGCAATATATACAGTATATTTGATTTATTGAGCGGATTGTGTTTAATGTAGCAAAGAAGCCAGTCAGGCAGCAGGAAGAAGTCAAATTAGGAAGAAACTAGTATTGACATTAGGGCTTGAGGAAAGCATTTTAATCTTTCTTTTTTCTATTACTTAAGACATTATTGCTTTTCAACTGCTATTTAATTTTCTTTGAAAGAAGATGTTCTGCTTAGAGATAGGTGCTAGTGCTGGTGATGTGTCATCTACTGGAAAGGTTGGGACCAAGAGAAGTTTTTGGAATTCATGATGGTCAAAACATAGGGTGGGGCAAAAGTAGAAGCACCCAATTTATCCTCACTGTACAATTACATACTACAGCAACAATATATTTTTCCATCCAAATACTTAAGTGACAGATAAGGCTAATTCCAGTTCTAAATTTCTGTAGTTCAATATCTGTCCCCTTCTTCTTCACTTGCAGAAACTTACTGATACACTTTAGAGTAATTTACTCTATGCTCAGCTTTCCTTGACCATTTTTCACCAAGATCTTAACTCTGTAGTTTAGGCTACATATGAGAAAAGTTGTAGCCAGCTATGGACAGGGTGGGGTGAAAGTAGGTTTACGGTTGTTCATAGGAAAAATAAAACAATCTATAATAATAAAAGCATAATATGCTAATTAGACCAGACATCCTTCCGGACATCCTTCTGAATGACCTTCCGGATGAAGCCGGGGCTGCGAGGGAAGCCCGGGTCCCGGGTTTCAGCAAACTCGTGTGTTTACCTATGCCGCCATCTTTGTTTCTCTCGATAAAGATAATCTTAAGTCATCCCCCAATTTTGTTTCTAAGATATTTAAGGACCACATCAACCTAGCTCCGCCTCTCATCAGAGTCATTCTTTCTTTATATCCTTAGTGCACAAAAATAGTTAATCTTCATTGTGGCAACCCTGAAGGATTCAGGAGAGCATCTGCATTTCTTATTAGCCTTTCACACCACACCTAAGGATTACTCTGATTTGAAGAAGTAAAATGGCAGATTGTTTTTCCTCCATTATTAGTAAAGCAGGCACCTTTTGCTCCTTCTTTATCATTTTGGTCCACTAAATAGAAGTCTAACATACACATGTTCTTTCTTTGACACTTTTGGAACAACTCCCTGAAAATTATAATTAAGTCTGGCAATCTCTATTTCTTTCCAGCTATATGCATTATCTTACATCCTATAACTAGTAAAGAAATTCTTCCACCTTTCTATAAACTTCCATTATTTTCATATAAAATCATTCTATAAAGACGATTGACCCTGGCAGTTTGTGTGAGTTCTTCCTCTCTCCTGATATCAAGTTCTGGACTAGCCTCCACTAAACTGAGCTTTCCTGTCTGCTCCCAAGTCTAAGACAGAGTACATAAATCTCACTTGCTTCTGACTGCATTATTATTTTTTAAATATGTAGACTGATGCTTTGGTCTAATTTTGGTTTATCTATATAGGTATAGGGGTAAGTACTATATATATATTCCATGTTCAAAGGCTGTTAAATCGTGTTGTTTACTCATATCTTCAGAAAAAAAATCACTTCTACTGTCGTGGTAAACAACCTGCTTCCCTATTTATAATGGTTCTTCCTCTCTCCTGATATCAAGTTCTGGACTAGCCTCCACTAAACTGAGCTTTCCTGTCTGCTCCCAAGTCTAAGACAGAGTACATAAATCTCACTTGCTTCTGACTGCCTTATTATTTTTTAAATATGTAGATTGATGCTTTGGTCTAATTTTGGTTTATCTATATAGGTATAGGGGTAAGTACTATATATATATTCCATGTTCAAAGGCTGTTAAATCGTGTTGTTTACTCATATCTTCAGAAAAAAAATCACTTCTACTGTCGTGGTAAACAACCTGCTTCCCTGTTTATAATGGTCTGGCCCTCTAGCAACTTCAGCGCAAAATTATAGCTATTTTGCCTACAAACGTCAGGTGGTCATAATAATCTGGCCACTCAGTGTATATTTCTGTTCTATATTAAATGAGTGAATAATAGATGAGATCTAGGATGGAGACAAGGAGTTTGTCTCCAAAGAGTCAAAATGAGAAATAACTTCTACAAGGTTCTGATGGACCTCATAATTCCATCCCAACTTTTCCTCCAAAAAGCTCATAAGGTCAATTCATAATTATATTTATTGAGTGGGTGCTCAATAAATGTTTAGGAAAAGAAATTGTGGGCACAGAATTGCAATATATACAGTATATTTGATTTATTGAGCGGATTGTGTTTAATGTAGCAAAGAAGCCAGTCAGGCAGCAGAAAGAAGTCAAATTAGGAAGAAACTAGTATTGACATTAGGGCTTGAGGAAAGCATTTTAATCTTTCTTTTTTCTATTACTTAAGACATTATTGCTTTTCAACTGCTATTTAATTTTCTTTGAAAGAAGATGTTCTGCTTAGAGATAGGTGCTAGTGCTGGTGATGTGTCATCTACTGGAAAGGTTGGGACCAAGAGAAGTTTTTGGAATTCATGATGGTCAAAACATAGGGTGGGGCAAAAGTAGAAGCACCCAATTTATCCTCTCACTGTACAATTACATACTACAGCAACAATATATTTTTCCATCCAAATACTTAAGTGACAGATAAGGCTAATTCCAGTTCTAAATTTCTGTAGTTCAATATCTGTCCCCTTCTTCTTCACTTGCAGAAACTTACTGATACACTTTAGAGTAATTTACTCTATGCTCAGCTTTCCTTGACCATTTTTCACCAAGATCTTAACTCTGTAGTTTAGGCTACATATGAGAAAAGTTGTAGCCAGCTATGGACAGGGTGGGGTGAAAGTAGGTTTACGGTTGTTCATAGGAAAAATAAAACAATCTATAATAATAAAAGCATAATATGCTAATTAGACCAGACATCCTTCCGGACATCCTTCTGAATGACCTTCCGGATGAAGCCGGGGCTGCGAGGGAAGCCCGGGTCCCGGGTTTCTGCCAGTGGCTGGAGGGAAGCCCAGGTCCCGGGTGCTGGACGGAAGCTGGTGCCAGCAGCCAGGGGAAGGAAGGCCTACTCTTGCACGAATTTCATGCATTGGGCCTCTAGTAATTAATAATAACCCAGAAATAAACTCTGTATTTCACATACTCTACTGTAAACCTACTTTTTCAGTCTGTTCAATATATAGTTCCTCTGCAGCTATAAAAAGACTTCTTTTTACAAGAATTTAAACTAATTGTCTCCCTCTCTGCTTTTTCTAGAAATTCCAGTAAATCTTCCAGTCTGGGGCAATAATATGCCCACCCATAGGTGGCATTCTTGTAGAAGAAATGCCTCTTGGTTGAAGATTTCCCATTAAATTTACTTGATTCCTCCAAGGTTGACATACACAAAACAAGATTCCATTTCCTTTCTAGACAAAGCCTTGCTCACCTCTGCATTTTTCATATCTCATAATAGGTCTTGTGCATATTTCCATGTTCAGAAGAGCTCAAGAGGAAGGCACTGGTAATGCTAATCATAGAAAGTTTTTGCACGAGTTTTATTTGGGAATTTTTATTATCCTCCCGTCTAGTTTGCTACAGCTGTTCGCTCTTGAATTCCTTGAACTGTTTTTGTTTCTGAAGCATCTAAAGTGGAAGTAGATAGTAACAACTCTGGAGCAGAAAGTACACGGATCTCAGCTCTGATAGTAATCTATTGTGTGATATTGGGCAAGTTGTTTGTTTGCCTTATTTACCACATCTATAAAGAGATGATTTTATTGATGAAGGTGGTGGTGGTGATGTTGTCAGTGTTCATTGTGCCCTTTCTATGTGCTGACACTATGTGCTAAGCACTTTGAATATGTTGTCTCAGTTTCTCCTAACAGCAGCCTTCTAAGACCATACCAGTATCCTTGGGTTAGAAGAGGAAAGTCAGACTTGGCATGTTTTACTAGTTTTCCTGAAGACACACACTCAGAAGAATGGTGAGCCCACATCTATTCTTATATTTTAGCCAGTTCTTAGAATAGAGATCAGACTGCAAGTGGCCTTATTTTGGCAGAAGGTAAATGAGACTTCGGATGTGAGAGAAGACAAGATTTGTACTTCTTTTTCTAATTGCTCATTTAGAACTCTTATTAAAAGCTAACAGCTTACTGTCTGTAGTCTTATGAATAGTTTATCCCAAGGGCTGATCTTATTTATCATTTCTGAAAAACACTTTCACTCTCTCTGCCTTCAAAAGAAAAAATACAAAAACCACAGTCTGAAAATGTTAAAGGTCAGCCACCTTATTTAAGAAGTGTTTGCTCAGAATTTCCCCACAGATCTGAAGGTTGCAGCTCCAATTGTGCTTTTCTTGACAAGCTATCACTGAAGTGCCCTTCAGTGGAAACCTTTTGATGCCTTACTGCTTGGCTCATCCTTTCAAGCAATCAAAGTTAATTCAAGTCATGCTTATGCTGAAGATCTTCTCCCAAGATGACAAAGGAACAATGTCACATCTTCTAAGAAGGGTAATAGAAGGGGCACACCCTGTTCATGTTAATTTGTGTTTTCTGTACCACATCCTCTGAGGCACAGGGAGATACTGACACTCCCCCCAAGTCCAGTGTGTATATGAGAACATGTACTCATTTTCTGAGCATTTGATATCTGTAGTTGGATTTTTTTTCAAATTTGATGGGTTTCATTTGTGTGTGTATGTGTATATATATATATACACATATATAAAGGATAGTTTTATTTGTGCCTTTTGAAAGATTTCTCCTAATTATACCTGTATCATCCTAAAAAAAACAACTTGTTTTATTCAAAGACATAATAATAGTTGGTAAGGGAAGAGGTTTTGAGCAAGATACACCTAAATTTAAATTCTAACAAGGATGATAGCTTCCTTAGTCATGATATTTAATCTCTCTTAAAACATTATCATTTAATTTTTCTACTAAAGACAAAGAAATACCATTCTTAATGTTAGTTTTGTACTTGCTATGTTTTGGAAATATCAAAGCCAAATGGTATGTCAGAAATTTCAATTCTTCCTTTATCTAATAATTAAGGCTGTCATTTTATGGATTGGTCAGTTATAAATAAGCAAAAAAACCCTAAATATTCTCTAAGATGTAGCATTGTAATAATCTTAGTTTTATTTAATAATGCTAGTACACAATTAAATCAGTATTTTAAATATTTTCCTTTTCTTCAAACATTTCCACTTCATAGAATACTTTTCTTCTCCCCACCCATCTCACCTCCTTAATGTAGTGAAAAAAGACTTACCCCAAGTCACAAGGATTCCTCTTCAAAGTCTATCAAAAATTAGTGATTGCACCATCAAAAATTCCCTGACCTTTTAGGCCTCATCTATAAAAAGTACACAATTGGGTGCATTAATTCCAAGATCTCTAATAGCACAAGAATTTTTTTTATCAATCTGCTGTACTTAACAAACCTAAATGCCTTGTTGAAATTGGACTGGGGGTTTCAACAGGTTATTCCTGAATTTTACTAATAAGTTAGTGTATTCCAGAATTGCCTGCACGGAGGTAGATTTGCCATCAGAGCCCAATAAATACTCAATCACTGAATGCTGTCTGGCCTAGGAGCCAGCAGAGATGGGTTCTGCTCCCAACCGCCTCCTTGGCAGCTGGCAGGCAGTCCTCATATGCAGACCTCCTCCTGTAGGTAAGGGGAAGGTCATGCCATGGCTCTCTAAGATCCCTTGCATGCCTGACATTTTCTGATTCTGAAAATGATCATTAGGTTACAGAACATACCTGTGAAGGAATTAAGAACTATAAGGGTGAGTTATGTCACTGACCTTCTCTATTTACTAAATTGACTTTAAAAAGAAAGCTTGATTCCCCAGATCTCACAGATAACATGTTTTGATAAGCGTGGGAGAGTAACTAGATTACATAATGCTGAGTTATGTAATGTTTATTCTTCATAGTCAGCCTCAGCAAGGGAACCAATTCGAGAAAATACTTTGGCAATACTTCATAAAGCTTTTAACACTCAGTGATGACAGGAATGTTACATGGGTCAAGCTGAGGAACAGCAGTTGCCCTTTCGTACAGGTGACAGGTTGTAGATAACTTATTGACAAATGAGGTTTTCTTCACCAAGACTCAACAAACCTAGAAAGAGTGGGATGGGGAAGGGGAGACTGTAAAAAGAGAAAAAAATAAATTTTTCTCTAGCTTTGAACTGGGTTCTGTCTTAGTGCCAAACTTAGTGTTTTGCTTTTTTTCATAACTCTATTATTAAAGTTTGCAGCTAGCTTTGTAGCTGTATTTTTCATAATATTAAAGTATTTTTCTAATTGGAAATTTTTTTAAAAAACTGAGCTCATTTTCTCCTACAAGACATTGACCACTCTCTTCTACTCTAGGCAGTTTAGCGAACCATTAGGAACAAGCTTATTCCTGTCTCTTTCTGTACCATGCGGAGCCTGTCACATGGACATCATACTTTATGTCCTGCCTTCGCAGCATTTCTGTTGCTTCGTGAATGGAAGCACCTGAGTCTCACTTAAGCTGGATTGCAGGATCCTTGAGGGCTGGGCCTTCTGTGGCCACTGGACGAGCACAGCACCTATACCCCATTCCTGAGGGAAGGCTTTCAATGCCCTTCCTCCCCCTTTCTTGCCTGCTAAAATCTTGTTGCTTCTGGGCCACCAAACAATAAAATGTAACTATAGATTTATTACATGGCTTTGCAATGATGTATTAGTAAGTTATCTCTGCCCCTAACGCTCTCACCTTCCAGAGAACCAGGGTTTCTTGTTCACCATGGTATTTCCAGTGCCTCAGAGATGTAGTAAACACTGCATGAATGCTTAATAAAGGCAAGGTGGTTTGGTAGGAAGACACAGAAGGAAACACTGGTTCTAGCCAATGCTCTACGTCTGACTCATGGTATGATCTCCAGTGAGTCCTGTTCGGTTTTGTTTTGTTTTTGTTTTTTTGGTCTTTTTATTAAAAATATGTTTTTATTGATTTCAGAGAGAGGAAAGGAGAGGGAGAGAAAGATAGAAACATCAATGATGAGAGAGAATCATTGATTGGCTGCCTTCTGCATTCTCCAGCCTGGGGATCTAGCCCACAACCCGGGCATGTGACTAGAAATCGAACTGTGACCTTCTGGTTTATAGGTTAACGCTCAACCACTGACCACACCGGCTGGGCCAGTGAGTCGTTTTTTAAAGAACTTTAAATTTTATTTTTCAAATACAGTTTACATGCAACATTAGTTTCAGTTGTACAGCATAGTGGTTAGACAATCGCATACATTACAAAGTGGTCCCCTCTATATTTCAAGTACTTACCTGGCAATATACATAGTTATTACAATATTATTGACTTATTCCCTATGCTTTAATTTACATCCCTGTGACCTATTTTTTTCTAAAAGAATGCACTTTTTTAAAGATATGTTTTTATTGATTTGAGGGAGAGAAAGGGAGGTAAAAGGAGAGAGAAAGAAAAACATTGATGAGAGATTCATTAGTCGGCTGCCTCCTGAACACCCCCTACTGGGGATCAAGTCCACAACCCAGGTATGTGTTCTAACTGTGAACCAACCAGCGACCTCTTGGTGCATGGGACAATCCTCAACCAATTGAGCCACACCAGCCAGGGCCCTGTGGCTATTTTGTGACTACCAATTTATAGTTCTTAATCCCTTCAACTTTGTCACCCAATCCCTCAACCCCTCTCCCCTCCGGCAACCATCAGTCTGTTCTCTGTATCTGTGGGTTTGTTTCTATTTTATTCATTTATTTTGCTCTTTAGATTCCACATATAAGTGAAATCAATATGCTACTTATCTTTCTTTGTCTGAATTATTTCACTTAGTATAATACCCTTAGGTCCATCCATGCTATCAAAAATTGTAATATTTTCATTCTTATTTATGGCCAAGTTATACTCCATTGTATATAGGTACCCCCTCTTCTTTATCCATTCATCTATTGATGGACACTTAGGTAGCTTTCATATCTTGGCTATTGTAAATAATGCTACAGTGAACATAGGAGTGCATATATTTTTTTCAAATTAGTGTTTGGGGTTTTTTCAGATATATATCCAGAAATGGAATTGCTAGGTCATAGGCAGTTCCATTTTTAACTTTTTGAGAACCTCATTCCAGTTTTCATCATGGTTGCTCCAAACTGAATTCCCAACAACAGTGCAGGAAAGTTCCCTTTACTCCACATTCACACCAACACTTGTTTGTTAATGTATTGATGATACCAATTCTGACAGGTGTGAGGTGATATCTCGTTGTAGTTTTAATTTGCATCTCTGATGATTAGTGACATTAACCTTCTTTTTCTATATCTATTGGCTATCTGTTTGTCCTCTTTGGAGAAGTGTCTATTCAGGTCCTCTGCCCATTTTTAAATTTGATTGTTTTTTTGGTGTTGAGTGTTTTATCCATTCTTCATAGATTTGTATGTTAATCCCTTATGGGATGTATCAGTGGCACATAGCTTCTTACATTCAGTAGGTTGTCTTTTTGTTTTGTTGATGGTTTCCTTTTCTATGCTAAAAGCCTTTTAGTTTGATGTAGTCACATTTGTTTATTTTTTCCTTTGTTTTCTTTCTCTGAGGAAATATATCAGAAAAAAAAACATATAGCTAAGGGAAATGTCAAAGATTTTACTGCCTATATTTTCTTCTAGCAGTTTTATGATTTGGAGTCTTACATTTAAGTCTTTCTTCTATGTGATGTAAGCAAGTCTAGTTTCATTCAATATTCCCAACACCATTTGTTGAATAGACTGTCTTTACCTCATTGTATGTTCTTTGTCAATATATTAATTGAACATATGCTCATGGGTTTATTTTTGGCCTCTCTAGTCTGTTTCATTGATCTATGTATTTGTTTTTATGCCAGTACCATGTTGTTTTGATTAGTTTAATATCAGGTAGCATGATACCTCCAACTTTGTTTCTCTTTCTTAAGATTGCTGTGG